TTAAATGTCACTAGGTTTATGTACACTAATTATATTGTTATCACGCAGCTTCGTAAATACAACATAGGCCTACTGACACAGAGATTCATCTGCTTCATACTTCAAGTATAGGCCTAGATATCTACTGTAAATGGCCGCCATATATCCAAAGATTAATATACGTCTTATGTAATGCGTTTCTAATCGGTTTCACATCTATCAGAAAGACTAAATAAATGTTTTTCAATTTTATTAAATGGAAACAGAAAAAAATACTCAACAAAATTCTCGAAGAATACGTAGCCTAGTGTTTTCGACTAAAATCGTCGATTTAGGACTTAAAATGTGGGTTAACAAGCTTAGTGGGGTTATCTCTAGATAGCCTAAGATGTGGGTTAACAAGCTTAGTGGGGCTATCTCTAGATAGCCTAAGATGTCGGTTAAGAAGCTTAGTGGGGCTATCTCTAGATAGCCTAAGATGTCGGTTAAGAAGCTTAGTGGGGTTATCTCTAGATAGCCTAAGATGTCGGTTAACAAGCTTAGTGGGGCTATCTCTAGATAGCCTAAGATGTCGGTTAACAAGCTTAGTGGGGCTATCTCTAGATAGACTAAGTTTAGTTTAGGTTGTGTTCAGGAATTTGAGCAGGTGAAGACAATCTGATTAAAACACAGAACCTATTTCGTTTCGTTTTTATAGTTCCAAATTTCGTTTTACTTGTCTTTACTACAGTAGGATCTGGGAGAGTTGTTAAAATTGACGTGTTCTGGATGATGTGAGGGCTTAGCCAATGAAACGGTCTGTTACGGCGAGCTTTAGGCATGTTTTGCATGGAACTGTGGGTAATCTACTAGTTAATCAAATGTCTGACGTCATATGTCAAAAGCCGCTCGTATTACCTCTGACGCGACCTATCGCTACAACTTGTAGTGTAGACCATCAAAGGTATAAAAAAACGAAACGAAATATCGATCTGTATTTTAATCAGATTGTGCTGAAGACAAAGTCGAATTTGTTTTTTTGGTTTTTTTTTTTGGGGGGGGGGGGGTTTACCTAAGACCATTTTTGAGGTAGGGGGTTACCTGAGACCATTTTTCAGTACAGTTAGACGTCTACCACTGTACACTTAGACTGGAGAGCGGATGAATCTAGGAGAAAAACTATGCTCTGCGGGAGCAAGAAAGGGGCTGGGGTGGGGTGGGGGAGATCACCGACCCGCTTGACCCCCCCCCCCCGCCGGACACGGGCCTGTGAATTGATCGCTTTCGGGACTTGATGCAGAAATAATTGATTTAAACTTGGCGGGTGCTCTTTTTTAATAAAGACATGGTCATAAATTAGTCCGACATATTTTTCAAATAATGTTATCGTCAAGCTTGGTACCTGACCCGGATCCATTCACTTGATTTGATAAAAAATAAATGGTTTATTGCTTGCAATGTCTATGTAGTTTGTATGCCTTGTCCGCAATCTGCTTCACAGAGAATTACGAGTCTCGTATAATATCTCTGTCATAGATGACTGCCTTAACACGTGCTGTCACAGCACGCGGTGTGAATCATTGGCTGAATGGCGCGTGCATTGTTTACATAAGACATAACTGCTTCGGAGCGAATGCTGCATTTTAGTCATTTTAATACCCATTTACACTAAATCGGAAATAATTTTTAACTACAAATACGTCAAACGCCTTTATTTATTTTTCCAATATATACAAAAAATGTTTTAGAATTTAATTTGTCGCAGGAAAAAAGTTAATATTTCTAGCTCATTAAGCCGCATCAATGTCATCCTTATCAGTGATTGTCGCGGCCAAGCAAATATTCACTGCGGATCAGTGTGCCTTGTCCGCAGGTCAGTCGATTTTGTTTGCGTGTAGTGTGCACACTACTATATATCAAGCAAACAGAAATGATCGCGTTTATGGACAAATAATTGATTTCAACTTGACGGATAGCTTTTTGAAAACACATTTTGCTGGTCGATAAGGTTTCGTTAGGTGCTAAAAATCTCGATGTGTTGGCATATTTTGCCAATTGCGGACCCTTTTCCGACCAAAGACAGCGTAATTCGTCACTAATATGTCCAGGAGAAGCTTGTTATCCGTTCGGCCATATCACCATCGGATTATTATTACACCAGTAAAATTAAAACGTATGACATGTATTTGGTATGGGATATATTGTTGTCTTGAATCTCAGTTCCTGTGTTTTACCAAAGTTACCCCGGACAAACGCCAATACCCCCTCCCCCCTCCCACACACACACATACACACACACCCACACCGAGTTGTTTGTCCCAGGGCGCTGAGCAGGAGGGCTTGCCTGGCAAGGACATGCGTGTAGTCGTTCGGATGGAACAAAAACAATGAGCTCCCGAGTACACGTTGGCGTGCACGTAAAAGAACCCTTGATTTCAAAACAAGAGTAGGCGTGCTGCGGTCGGGGAAAACATTCCTTCAAAGCACACTGCAAGACGTATAGGCTTCAAGTGTCCATTAGCCCTGTACAGGTGCAGAACACGGACGGTAAACCCCAAGCGCATTGACTCGAAATGAGGTACAGGGGTACCCAATTCCTTTCATTTCATCTTTAGGGGATCGGGTCATAACCGACAACGTAGTGGGGTTGGGTGGCCGAACGGTTTATCGTTGGGGGCGTTAGATTATCCGCCTGTACATGACAAGAAGTAGAGTCACCAGCTGTCAACCCCGTGGGTCCTCCGGTTTCCTCCCACAGCTAAAGATCATATTGAAATGAAAGTGAGCCATATGTTAGTCCCGAAATTACCCAGTTAATGTCGAGTGGGCGTTACCCCCCCCCCCCCCCCTCTCTCTCTCACTCATTTCTTTTGTGTCGATATTGTCCGACCGATATTCAAGAAAATGTCAAGTTGACAGTTTTGAGTACACAATTTGACCTTTGTACTTCAAGGTCGTGTGTTATTTTATATCAGTAAGTATTTTAAATTTGATTTATATACAAATACAGATCTAGCGAGGGTGGGGATTTCAACAGCACTAAGAGCGTCTTTGCGTTCACGCCAACGTGTACATCGGACCCCATTGTTCGTCCCATTTGGATGGCCCAATGGTTTAACGCATGCGCTTTAGATCATAAGGTCTGTCATTGAGTCAAGTGACGTGGTTCCACATTAGGCTAAGATGGTTTCCCAACCCCACTCAGATATTGTTTCAAAGAATAGTGGCGTGGATTTCGATTCCCCGCTTTTATGTGACATGGAGTAGGGTCTCCTGCTCTACCTTGTGGGTTTTCTCCGGTTTCCTCCCACTGCTAAAGACCCCTACGCGCAAGCAAATTATTGAAATAAAATTGAACCATGTGTTACTCCTGAAATGACCTAGTTTGTGTCTTGTGGACGTTAAACCCCATTTCTCTCTGAGTCTTTGGGCATACAATCAAGGCCATGGCCCGCCTCAGGGTATCACCAGCAAGGCATTGCCCCCGGGGTATCACCATCAAGGAGATGGCCCCGCGGTATCTCCATCAAGGAGTTCGCCCCGGGGTATCACCATCAAGGAGTTCGCCCCGGGGTATCACCATCAAGGCGTTAGCCCGCCTCAGGGTATCACCATCAAGGTGTTGCCCCCGGGGTATCACCATCAAGGAGTTGGCCCCGGGGTATCACCATCAAGGAGTTGGCCCCGGGGTATCACCATCAAGGAGTTCGCCCCGCGGTATCTCCATCAAGGAGTTCGCCCTGGGGTATCACAATCAAGGGGTTGACCTCGGGGTATCACCATCAAGGAGTTGGCCCCGGGGTATCACCATCAAGGAGTTGGCCCCGGGGTATCACCATCAAGGAGTTCGCCCCGGGGTATCTCCATCAAGGAGTTCGCCCCGGGGTATCACCATCAAGGGGTTGACCTCGGGGTATCACCATCAAGGCGTTGCCCCCGGGGTATCACCAAACCCCTGCACATCACGGCATATTATAAAGACTAATTCAAGTTTAAATTTTAAAACTGCAACGTGTGTGCAATAAACGGTCTTCATATGATAACAATCGGAAGCTATGAAGTCTAAATATATTTTACGTTTAGCGTTTCATAAGTTGATAAAAATAAATATTGCTGACGCGAGGGTACTTCTGTGGGTGTGTTATCAAACGTAAGGAAATATTATATGGAAAATGTTATATACGAATGTTATTTGTCGATTTTGGTCAATACTCGTCTACTTAGAACACGTGCGACATGGGTGCCCAGTGCGAGCGGTAACAGCTTAAGTATATTATGGTATTGATTTTTCCCGCCAAATTTCTCCAGAAAGACTTCTTACAGCTTTATACTTAGGTTGTTTTAGAACACTCTGTATCGCAGCTTTACATTAGATTCGTCCATTTCAATTCATTTTGTAAATCATTGACAGGTAAAAATACCTTAATCGGGGAATACGCCTTCAAGTCATCTGGAACCGAGCGCGAAACTGGTAGTTAATTATTCATTTTTTGTTGAGCCGTTTGATTTCCATGAAAACTACTGAAAGTTTGTTTGTGTTTGCCTGCAGGTGAGGTTTGTGGGTTTTTTTTCAATTTTCTGTGGTGTTTTTGCTAGGGAATATAATTTGATATGTGGTTTGTAAATTTATTGTCTAGTGGTTCGGATGGGGCGACAAACGGCGTGTACTTAAAAGAACCCTTGACAATTGGAATTTGATATAAGAAAAGGCCGTAGCGCCGCTGTCAGGGCAAAAGTTTTAAACATATAGTGAGTCATAGCACACTGTACGGCGTATTAACCAAGTCGGAGCAGAACAGTAGGACGTTAAACCCCATTCATTTCATTTATAGATGAAGTTACTAATTCAACTTGAGAAAAATTGAGATAAAAAAAAAAAAAAAACATAAACAAACCGATAACAGGACTTGTTTTAAAATATTTTGATTTTATTCGAAGTCTTTATATTTGAAGATTATTGAGGTAGGTTGATGAGGATGGGGTGGATGGGGTCTTCCGACGGGCCTATCATTATTTATTTAAATGGTTATTTTTAAAAAAACTAAGTCCCTTTAAAAAAAAAAGAAGAAAAAAACCTGTTAAATATAAGGTGTGGCCGCCTGTTCCTTGTCGGCGGACGGCGATAGACCTAATTACCGGTGAATATTCTGGAAGGACGAGCAAAAAACTTTAAGCACTACATTTTTTTAAATAATTACGAATCTAAAAATATGTAACCATCACAAATCAACCGCCACGAAAGTGTTTAAAAACAACTCTGAAATGTTACATAACCGTGTACGTCCTTGGCCATTAAAAAAGCGTTATACCCAGGTCAGCATATCTTCGGTAAATTCCGTGACTTTCCGTAGTAAACAGTGCGAATCCATTTCCGGTTTTGAGTCGACTTGAAGTAGTAACAGAATGGCACGAAAAAACTTCAGAGCAGGTAAAATGGTGTAAAATGAAAACATATTATTTTAACAGTAGTCGTTTATGTTGAATATTTAATTAATTGAAGTATTTTCGGTGTTTAACTGGAGATTTAGCTTGCACGTTTTATAATTAGGTCTGAGAAAGTTCCAAGAAATTTTCGCCTTCATTTTCTTCTACTGCACTGAGCCGACTCAACCGGCTTCTCTGACTGAAAGCCTTCCAAATTGAAATGACGACAAATGAAACTTGAGACGTTGAGTTGTGAAATTTATTTGCTTACGGATTGTCATCAGCAGAATTTCCTTTTCGTTTATCACCGTTTTAGTTGGAATATATTGTATTTACTTTGTGATTTAAGGCCGAATTTTTTGACGAGTGACACTGACAGTGACATTTGTAGGCTAGAGTATTTTAAATTTACAAAATTGAAAATCAACCCCCAGAGGCTGTCTGGCACACAAGGAAGACTAGAAATCATACCCTCACCCTCTTTGCATTTCAGGGAGAGTTACTCCCAGTTTTTATTTAAATAGTATAATTAGGAAACACATTGTGACTATGATTTTGCTCCTGCAAGAACAGTTATAACGGTGGGGTGGTGGATGGCTGGATGCTGTATCATAAGGCCTGTCACTGAATCAACTGCCATGGTTTTGAATCCCCGGTTGTACGTGACAAGGAGTAGGGTTGCCTGTCCAACCTCGTGGACTTTCTCCAGGTCCTCCGGTTTCCTCCCACTGCTAAAGACCCCTAGTGCCACAAGCGAATTATTGTTGGTCCCGAAATTACCTAGTCTGTGTCGCGTGGACGTTAAACCCCATATCTCTTTCTCACTCTGCAAGAACAGTTATGACTTGCGATATTAAATTTATCATAATTTTCTCAAAACCTTGATAGGCTACTTTTTCTAGACAGACATGGATTGATTTGATTTCAGCATTTTTTTCAATAAGTTCAATCAAGCACCACAGCTAATAATAACATGCATTAATGTACAGGCAATGTAAATTGTGGGCAGATTGTTGTATCTTGGTCAGTGCTATTTTATAATGAAAGTCAACACTGCAAGAAAATGGCAGCTTCAAAAACTATGTATAGGTCAAGATGTCTTGATAGGGCGTAATCATAAAAACTTTACTTTTAATAACTGCCAATGCCACTAGAAGGGGAGATAAATGGGGTTTGGATATTTGTATTGGCACAACATATAATAAACTGATAATACATGTACAATATAAGGTTTTGGACACGGCAGTGGGCGCAATGAAGGTCTAGAATTAGGTAAAAAGATGATATAAATTTTATAAACCTGGTGTTATTGTGATTTAAAGTTGGTAGATTGCTAGCTGTTTTATTGGTTTGTCCAATCTGTCACAGCTGTCACAGATATTATCATGCACACTCAGTTTTGATCATACCTTATCGTTTTGTTTCCCACTTATTTATCTTTTGTTCGGTGTTTTGATTGGTATTAATAAAAATACTTTTAATTATGTAAGAGCTAAATCTGCTATTGCACATCTTTTATTTGGCTTCAAATGTCATATAAATTATTACTTAGACATTTATTCATATGACAAGCCTATAATCAACTCGCTAGAACATACGATTGGCCTAGATTTAAAAATTTAATGATAAATGGATAGTCTAAGACGTAGCCTCAATTGTCCAGTACCATTGCTACGATGATATCTTCAGACAGTCATAACTTCACCCAGAATAGAGTTATTTGAATGAAAATTTTCAAAATATTTACTTTTAATCATCTATGCTACAATGTACAACAGTCATGCATTAAATTTACAGGCGATGGAAGCGAGGAATAATTCATAATAAAATAGAAAGAATTGATGCCTAGTGATCTGTGTGGGTGTATGGGGGGGGGGGGGAGCAGTGGTTTAAAATCTCCGCTTTAGATCATAAGGTCAATCATTAAACAAACATGCATTATGCAAGAGCAAAATCTGCTTATTACAAGTCTTTCTTTAGGCCTGAAATGTTATCTAAATTATCAATTAGACCAGGGTTCAATTTAAGCGGTATCGCATCGCAAAAGGCGATTTAAATCGCGGTAAAAGCGATAGAATTATTTTATTCATTAGCCAAAAATTGCTTTCAAACTTGTGAAGTGCGATTCATTATATATTTTGGGTGAAAATACTTCATTTGGATAATCACGACTAATTTCATTAATAAATCGGTAAATTGGAGAAAATACCGTAGACTGGATAACCTGCTCTAATTGACGTCAGGCAATAACTGCAGCGGTAGTGTATGTTTAGCTTGTGGATTAGAGCCGAAACTGTGCAATATTTTCTTAATAATGGAATTTAACGGTATAAAAATATTTTGGAATTTGAGAAATACGGCAATAAATCAAAGTAAAGATGAGCGATTTACATAGCCGGTAGGCCGAGGATTGTGATTAGATTGTATCTGACTATAAGACGGTAGGCCGAGGATTGTATCTGACTATAAGAGCTGATTTTAAACTTTGTTTGGGTTTAAGGTAACAATAAGAGGTCGCACGATCAACGTTAAATTTGACTGGATCAATCTTAGACATTAAACAAAAGCTTAATAAAGCTCGTAGCTTACTCATTTTAACGCTGAACGCCATCATTTGGGATGCCCGTCTATTTTTAGTAACACTACGTCAAAACATGTCTGCCCACACTACCTGTCTCTATATGCAAGTCAGAAAAGAGTGAAGTAGTGCCCAGCTCCAGGAAATATATTTGGAGCAAATTGGCCAGAGCATTGTGCCGACAGGGAAACGCCATAAAACAACATTCATTCATTCAAGTAATATAAAATAAACTAAGACACGTTATTTAATTGTTAATGTTAATTATTTATTTGTTAAGTGTTACATGTACATGTAAATGAATAATAAAACAAGACTAAAGATTATAATATTGTTTATTTATCAGAATTGCAAATTTTTGTGATGTACGGTTTACTGCTCCTCAAATCTGAGCAAATGCTATTCAAATTTTGAATTGATTAGCCAAAATGTAAATGTGTCACAAAAATTTGATACTCATTTGTTTTAGACTAAATTGAACCCTGAATTAGACATTAATTAACTTATCCAGACCATAATCAACTCTCGATGTCAAGGCTAGCCTTCGATGATGGCTGGATTAGATTCCTATATGCCGTTAACGGCCATTGATAATTAAATCAAAAAAAGTGGATAATCGAGACTATGCTGTTTATATTAATGATTTTAGTAATGATGACCGAGACTGTGCAAAAATTTCACCCGCTTCGTTCTCGGCTCATAGTGGATCAATTTGACTGAAATTTTCAGCAAATTACCTTTACACTATCTAGTTTTTAACTATTATAGTGAGAACGGCCATCTCTTTATCTTATCTCCCATAATGTATCTTTGAGTCAAGTTTAATCCCAAGTTTAGACGTGTCCAGGTTTGGGATCACGGTCGATCACCGGCCTGCCCAACCTTATGGGTTTTCTCTGACTCTTCAGTTTTTTCTAGGGGATCACGTGGCTAAGTGGGTAAGACGTTAGCTCGCTAGCCTGGAGGTCGGGTGTTCGATCCCTGCATTGGCCGAGAAAGTTCATCCAGATTTTCCGGCGTGATTCCCCCTTGTCAGTGATGCAGGACGGAGGGCCTGTCAAGGACAGCTGTCTAGTCCTTCGGATGAGGCGAAAAAACGAGGTCCCATGTGTACATTGGAATGCACGTAACAGATCCCTTGGCAGTTGGAATTCGATATAAGAGTAGGCGATAATGCCGCTGCCCGGGCAAAATTTTCCTCATAGCACACTGTATGGCGTATGCCCGTCTTCATTAGCCCATTATAAGAGCAGAACAGTAGGACGTTAAACCCCATTTCATTTCATTTCGGGTTTTTCTTTTCTCTGTTGAATGAACCTACATATGTGCAATCGAATCACTTCGATAAAATTGTACCACATTTTAGTCCCAAAATGATCTAGTGTTGTGTGGAGTGGATGTTTAACTCCATTTTTCTCTCTCAATATATTGATTTATTGATATATACATGTGTAAAAGAAATGAAATGGGGTCTCGAACATCCTACTGTTCTGCTCTGACTGGGGCTAAAGACGTACATAAGTCATACAGTGTGCTATGAGGGAAATTTGCTCAGCAGCAACTCTATAGCTTACTCTTATATTGAATTCCAGCTGCTAAGGGATCTTTTACGTGCACGTGAATGTGTACACATGGCCTCGGTTTTTCATACATGTACCATGCGAACGACTAGTATGACATACATGTACCATGTGAACGACTAGTATGACATACATGTACCATGCGAACGACTAGTATGACATACATGTACCATGCGAACGACTAGTATGACATACATGTACCATGCGAACGACTAGTATGACATACATGTATTGTCGTTTAGAATTATATTTATGAGCATATTTCTAATTAAAATATTGTACAGCCACTAGTAGGCCTAAATAACATTATTATAAAATATTGTACTCCGACTAGTAGGCCTAAATATATAATTATAAAATATAGTACACCGACTAGTAGGCCTAAATATATTATTATAAAATATTGTACACCACTAGTAGGCCTAACTATGTTGTGTTTATGCTAACAGTAGAAAGAACAAGAAGTCTATCAAATTCCGGGTATTTTTTCAAAATTATTTCATGAGTTGTTGCCCTTGATAAATTTCAGTGTCTTGTAAATATTTTACCATGAGTTGTTGACCTTGATAACTTTTCAGTACATTTACCTTGTAAATATGCCCTCATGAGTTTTTGCCCTTGAAAACTTTTCAGTACATGTATTTTGTATTTATATGCTCCCATTACATGTACTTACTAAAAAAAAAAATAAAACAATGTGAAAAACCTTTATGGATAAAAAAATTATGAAATGCGACAATCTTAACGGACGGCTCGGAGGACATGTACATGTAGCTGCTATGGACGTGTGTGTCGTTGCCTGGCAGTGTTTGTATATAATATGATATGTTGATATAATATTAATTTATGGGGAATATTTCCTGAATACTGTGTAAATATAGATATTTTATATTACATGTGTTTGTGATTTGTGGGACTGATAAGAAATGGGTGTGGTTATTTTGTCATCAAATTATTTCCTAATTTTAACCGATTTACCTACATGTACTAACCTAATTAAGACTATACCGTATATCTACATGTATTGTTCACATATTTTAATGATTTTCTGAACAATGAAATACAGGCCTGTTATTGTTGTTCTGTGTGAAGATGTATTACATGTATGTAATAGCTAAATCTGCCTGTTGCAGGGTTTTTTTGTCCTCAAATTTTATTTAAATCATTGAAGATACATTGTGGGAGATTCGATATCGAGTTGGCAGTTCTCACTATAAACTAGATAATGTAAAGGCAATTTTCTGAAAATTTCATTCAAATTGATCCACCATGAATCAGTATGAAACGAGAACTAAGCGGTTGAAATTTCCGCCTAGCCTCGATCATCATTACTAAAATCAGTACGATATACAGCATAGTCTCGATTATCCATTTAATCGTTAAATCGAGAAGGAAAGTTATGCAGTAAATCGGCTCATAATCCACTAAAGATCGCAGGCTAGCGCTGCCATCTAGAGTTGATTATGGCCTGGATAGGTTAATTAATGTCTAATTAATAGTTTATATAACATTTCAGACCTAAAGAAAGACCTGCAATAGACAGATTTAGCTCTTGCATAATTTATGTTAAATAAGAGATTTATTCACATGCCAAGCCCATGATCAACTCTCTAGACCATCAGATGGTTTTGATTTTTAACGGATTTAAACACGATCAGCAGTTAATAATTTATTTTAACAATGGATAATCAAGACATTGTCTGTTATTATAACAATGTTAGCAATGATAATCAAGACTACACTGTTCTTCAAACGGTCATAACTTCGCCCAGAAAAATTAATTTGAATGAAATTTTCAATATACATGTATTCCCTTTTCATTATCTGTTTTTGAACTACATGTATTATAGCTACAACTGTCAGCTCTTCATCTAAATCTAACATACATGTAATGTATCTTTAATTACATGAATAAATAGTGCTAGAGAGCCACAGTGGTTCAGTGAGTAGTGTAAGACACAGATATACTAACAAGCTAGGGAACCACAGTGGTTCAGTGAGTAGTGTAAGACACAGATATACTAACAAGCTAGGGAACCACAGTGGTTCAGTGAGTAGAGTAAGACACAGATATACTAACAAGCTAGGGAACCACAGTGGTTCAGTGAGTAGAGTAAAACACAGATATACTAACAAGCTAGGGAACCACAGTGGTTCAGTGAGTAGTGTAAGACACAGATATACTAACAAGCTAGAGAGCCATAGTGGTTCAGTGAGTAGTGTAAGACACAGATATACTAACAAGCTAGGGAACCACAGTGGTTCAGTGAGTAGTGTAAGACACAGATATACTAACAAGCTAGAGAGCCACAGTGGTTCAGTGAGTAGAGTAAGACACAGATATACTAACAAGCTAGGGAACCACAGTGGTTCAGTGAGTAGTGTAAGACACAGATATACTAACAACCTAGGGAACCACAGTGGTTCAGTGAGTAGTGTAAGACACAGATATACTAACAAGCTAGAGAGCCACAGTGGTTCAGTGAGTAGAGTAAGACACAGATATACTAACAAGCTAGGGAACCACAGTGGTTCAGTGAGTTGTGTAAGACACAGATATACTAACAAGCTAGGGAACCACAGTGGTTCAGTGAGTAGTGTAAGACACAGATATACTAACAAGCTAGGGAACCACAGTGGTTCAGTGAGTAGGATTAGTGCTAAATGATAAGGCCAGCTCAATTATCGTGATAATTTATACACATGTCTTAAGAAGTTAAATTTTGATTACTTGGGACGAAAATCGTCGGCTTGATGGTACTTAATAATGCTATTTATACTGATGAATTTAATTCTATCAGTAGAATGTCATGGGCGATGATATAGTATATGTATTATCGTCAATATTAGGACACGATAATTATCATATTGCGATAATTTTGGTTATCACGATATACCGGTTTATCAATATTTTTAAATAAGTCCGATATGGTAAAATCGTCGATTTTATCACTATATATCGAAAAACCGGTATATCGCCCAACCCTAGATGGAAATCTGAGGTCGTGGGTACACATTGTCATGCCTCGGAAAGATTCCTTAGTGCAGAAAAGTATGACATTGTCGGATCCCCTAAAAATGAAATGAAAGGGAATGGGGTTGAACCAAGAAGCTCTGTTCAAGTCCTGTTTAGGGTCAATATGCAGGTGTAGAGGGTGTGTGTGTGTGATGATGTTAACGTCCTATTGTTCTGCACCAACTAGGCTAATATAATGAATAGATGGGTATACGTCATACAGTGTGCCATGAAGGCCTACTCTTGTACCAAATTCAAACTGCCAAGGGATCTTTTACGTGCACGTCAATGAAGTATCACTTGTTTTTTCATTTTTTTGCAGGGTGTTTGTTTCAGATGCTAATATCCTGATGTTTTCAAGGTCTCTTTTTGTAGTTTTTTTTTTTTGTTTTAATTACCTTCATTTGTATTTTTTATTTGTAGATAATTCTGCTATAATTCATTTTGATTCAAGAACAAATACAGTGATGGCTCAATCTACAACCAGTCATAACCATGTTAAACAAAAGGTGGGTACAATAAACAGGTGTGACGTCATCCTTTGATGTTGGTGTACCATTATTTCAAATAATGGTGCGGGCAATGTGTCAAGTGTACATTATTTATACTAGTTAATATCGGACCGGTGCGACATATTTCATTGAAATACACGTGCTATATACATGTAGTGTCTATATTTTAAGTTGTTTAATAATCTGGGGCCTGTTTCACGAAATTTTAACTAAGATAAAATCCAAATTTTAGTAATTTGATTGGATAATATTAGATTGATTTTAGTGCTTAGCCAATCAAAAATGAAGTATCTACTAAAATTGAATTTTATCTTTAGTTAAAATTTCGAGAAACAGGGCCCTGGTGCAAGACATTGTGTAATATATTGAAACAATACTTGTTTAATACTTAAAGATACCTTCCTGCATACAAACTTGGTGATTTGATGATATATTTGTACTAAAAACATATTCAAACTAAATAATTTATACTAATTTTGCTTCAAATCCTTTTCAAAACATTGTAATTGCCAAGGAATACCCTGCTATAAAAATCAATCAAAAGAGGTCATGTTTGTGCCACATGACTTACCTATCCCAGTACCTATGAGTGCGAAGTCGGAGGAGAATTCATTGTATACACAAGACGATGTTGTCTTTAATCGTTGATTATTTAATACAAATATCAAATCCTAATTAAATTCTCGGATTATCCACTGCCTGCGTCTTTTTCCGTGATTTTTATCTCAGAAAGTGTTGTACGTCTAACTCTTCATAAAGTTTATCAACATGTACACCAAGCGCTCAATCTTCGCACGCAACCTTCGACGTCACGCGTGCAGGTATTCCTAATCGTCTGTCTGTCGATTAGGGGAACACTTACATTTTTGTCCTGTATACGCTCCATGAGTTTTTTCAGGGAATCCAGTATTTATCTAGTAAGATTGGATATTTCTACTTTCCATATATACCAAAATTGCCATACTTTTATTAGAGCAGGGCTAGAAATTCTTCACTTTTTGCAAGAATCTAAGAGGCTTCTCATATATGGCATCTGCGCGAATCCTCTGAATCTTAAATAATAATACTGTCTAAAAAACAAGATTGTGTTTATTGTGTTAATCTGTCATGGCAGTCCGTGATCCGGAAAAAAATATTTGACTAAATCAATGGACACTTTTTGACATAGTACTTATGTTTTATATTATAATTTATTATTTTTGCATTACATAATGCATTTTCAAGACGGTATGCGCTTGAATGAGAAAAACGAGATTCCTAGGGTAAATGAATAGCATCCAATTGTATACCCGTAGTTTAAAAAACACGCACGGCCGAAAGAACACAAGCTATTTTTAATGGTTTTTTTTGTGCATCCTTCATGTAAATATTCGTAATTTAAATAAAATATCATAATGAATATACTGGGAATTAAACTTGTAATAAACAACATAGACATATATTTGTAGTAAGTCTTCATGGCTATAGATAGATAGATCGATATGTTAAAAACTTTTAATAATATTGGCTAGAAAGTGTCAAGTGAATACTCCGGTGGTATTTCCAACTTTTTATGCATGTTGTCTTTTTTTACATTTAAAAAAACTGATATTATTGACATTTTATAAAATGTCACAATATAGTGATTATATCGCGATATTTTTTTAAAGTATCGCGATATCTGTTTCCAGGGATATCGCCCAGCTCTACACCATGTCATTTCTTCATAGCACAATTTGTAGTCTTTTGTCCATCACGTAACTTGCAAAAGTTTTTATCCATTCGTCGATGATAGACAAACGGCACAATGATAACGTCATAACCACAATTGAAATTGCTATAAAATAAAATTCGTACAACTATGATATAGCTTCAATAGGAATTCAGCATTTGAGATTCTGTCGGGAAAATACCCACTGTTTCTCTTTCTTTGTATTCGGTGTTCTACCAGGGGATTATATTCAATGAAGATTTAAATTTACCTAACAACTGGTCAGTGCATCCATCAATGTATGATCCAGTTATTATTTTAATATTTACCTGTACCTGCACTTTACACGGACGGAGCGTAGAAGAGGTGCGATTCACAAACCATGCCGAGATCGTCTTTATTCGCCACGTGGAGTATTTTACTGAACCTTTTATGAATTATCAGCAAGCGTGTTTTGTTTTTTTACCGGATTGTCAAAATCACCGTTAAATGTGCTAATTGCTCTTATTAAGAACCATATGAGGTATGACTGTTGTTGTAGCCGACAAGCAAGTTGATTGACTTTTTTTTTATTAACAAGTAATAATTACCGCGTTGTAATTTAGCCAAAAGTAGATTGATTTATGATACCATATAGTGATGGATTCATTGTTTTACCAATCGGCTAGATTAATTGTCAGTCGGCTAAAGCCGAAAAAATACAGATGATACTGACCGACATTCAATAGTCAAGACTTGACAATTCTCCGAGATTTTCTTTCTTTTTTATTTAGAAAAATTTTACGCGAATCGTTGTAGATTCGCAATGTAAGCTCTTGCGCGAATCAGATTCGGAGATTCGCGTGAATTTCTAGCCCTGTGGAGATAACCACCCGATAAATACTTTTCTGGGAACCTATCTTTAATGTCTCTCACACTTATTTCAGTGTTGGTCAAAATAGTTTCTCAGCTTGTTTTCCCCTTGACTTGTACATACATGTAAAAAAGATCCCTTGACAGTTGAAATTAGAAATAGGAGTTGGCAGAAATGCTTCAAACTTACTCCCATAGTACACTGTATTGTGTATGTCTGTCTTCATTTGTCCGGTAGGTGCTGATGTAACAATAGCGAGGTTTCCAACCAGTACGAAAAACAAAGTATAAACCCGGCTAACATGCGAAGTATATGTTTAGTTCCACGGTTGTTCACCTGAAACAAGGAATAACACTGTTTAGTTTGGTTAAATAAAAAATATCAAATCAAATCACATTAAATCAACCAAAAATTTCACAGCCCAAAACTTTGCTCAAAATCAGAACAACCTTCTACTGAATCAGAACAATTGCCGACCACTTTGACGCTGATAAACCTTCTACTGAATTGTAAATGTCCAAGCTTTCTATAAAACCGTGAAAATACGAATTTCATCTACAAATTGGCATGAAAATCACGATTCGTACTTCGTTTTTTTTAGCCACGAACATTTCCCAATTTCTTCGTAGAAAATGAACGAACCGAACACCACTTATGTCAAAGAAGTGATGACATCAGAACAAAAGCACTTCGTAGTTCGGAGTTCGTACTGCCTGTGGAACCTCATTTGAGATAACAGATCAGTTTAGTAAAGTAAATACATGTATATTATTTATTTACATCGGGGACAAAAACAGAAATGAAACAGCAACTTGAATAAATGAGGAACAGAAATCAAACAGCAACTTGAATACATGAGGAACATATTACAATAACATGTTGAAGCTTAATAAATTAATAGATGATCTTCTGCCAACTTTGTTTTCCGCAGTTTAATTGCAGAGCCTGTTGTACGTTTAATTGCAGAGCCTGTTGTATGTTTAATTGCAGAGCCTGTTGTACGTTTAATTGCAGAGCCTGTTGTACGATTAAGCCCCTCAATGTCCCAAAACCACCTAACCATTTGATGAGGAAATAACAACCGCTCCCCAAGTCAATCTGGCAGACAATAATCCATTAGGCTGCCAGTTAGTGATACCCTGACATTTTTGCCCACTGCTTGCCCCATGGGTGTTTTTCAGGGAATTCAGTATTTTTCTAGTAAGATTAGGCGTCTCTACTTTCCATATACTAAATTTGCCATACTTTTATTGGAAATGTAGCTTTAAGGAGCACTTTGTCACTATCCTTAAAACATGTAGTTCAAAAAAAGGGAGGTGAATTATTAATATTATGGACTGAATTGACATATAGATATGTAAATTGATTTACAGTACATTAATGATTTTTTGTGATAACTTGTCCATGTATAATATTTCACCTTCATCACTTTCTACTCAGACCAAAGACCCAGTTAAAAAGAATGTGAATTCACAAGTAAGTAGATGGTAGAAGGATCCCAATATATTTTATTTTTAGTTAAAAACAAATCCTCAATTACATCCTTTTTCTTTACCCAATCGTTCATCTTGATGGGTCTGTTGAGTAAGCATCTAGGAGATCTTGATGGGGTTCTAGTGAGTAAGGTGTGTGTGATGGTGGGGGTGGGGTGGGGGTTCAATTGAGTAAGGAGCTGGCTAACTAACCAGGGGTTTGATGTTTCATCCATCTGGATTATTTGACATTGGTGAACGATGTTTTTAATTGTAGGTGTTTGTTTAGATGGAAGGTAAAAACTGAGGACTTGTGTAGATATTAGCATGCTAGATAACATGAACAATATTTGTAGTTGAAGTCTATTAAACAGTGGTTAGCATGTATGCGTTGTATCATAAGTTCTGTCATTGAGTCAACTGGCATGGTTTTGATTCCCCGGTTGTAGGGTTACATGTCCAACCTTGTGGGTTTTCTCCAGGTCCCCCGGTTTCCTCCCATTGCTAAAGACCCCTACGTGCAAGCGAATTATTGAAATAAAATTAAACCATATGTTAGTCCCAAAATGACCTAGTTTGTGTCTCATACAGGAATTATATAAGAGCTAAATTGTAGTATAAATTATTAATTAGACATTTATTAATATGACAAGACCATTATCAACTCTCAATGCCATCGGATGGCTCCGGTTTTAAGTAGATTAGATTGACTCGGCCATATAATGATTTGATTTAAAAATAGAGAAGCGAGACTAAGACTCGAACGACCAGTACGGTGGTTACAATCAATGCAAACATCTTGTCAAAACTACAACCATTGATAACTTGGCTCAAAATAAAGTAATTTGAATAAAATTTTCAACATATTCATTTTGCATTATCTATTTTTGAACTATTACAGCAAGAACAGCCAGCTCTTTATCTAAATCTTACACAATACCCATTTAAAGGGAATAAAACCTTATCTTACAGGTATTTACTCAACCTGATAAAGGAATTCTGGCCTACATCCACTCCAATCAAAAATGTCTGACAAGCAACAGTTTGAAATAGCTACACTGCCATGGACATAACAATTTTATAACTTAGAAATTAGCTACTAAATACCTTTTGAAGAAGAGCAAATATGAAATACTGTGAATTCTGCCACAAATTGACATCTTTCAATTTCAAATGTTGGATCTTAATTCTTGTGCATTGTTTGTTAGTTTTGATATTCCCGGTATTGGCTAAGAACGTAATTTCTAACCCGGTTTCCCTGGTCATTGGTTTAATTCCATCCAATTCCATTCAATTCTGTTTCAGTTCCATTCAATTTCCCTTGTCATTGGTTCAATTCTGTTTCAATTCTATTCAATTTCCCTTGTCATTGGTTTAATTCCGTTCAATTCCATTCATGTCCGTTCAGTTCCTTTCAGTTTCATTATTTACAGAATTATGGAGAAATTGAGACAATCCACTCTAATCCACTCAAATACGGTCTAAATATCCCAGCATTTATAGGTGGTGCTGGCTTGTTTTTGTCGGAGAATACTAGATCGGAGACGGTCCTGCACATATTAGCAATATGACTTCCTATGTGGGTTAGGGTTAGTGCCTGCAGATTTTTGTCCAAATCTTGAGATGCATATCTTCTTTGATTGACATTTAGTAATTGAACATATTAACACAAGGTACAATTTTATGGATACAAAATTACTGAGTTTAATACTAAGCGACGTTTGGACCAGGATACTCTCGTCTTGATCAAGCAAATGATACAGGTATGTAAACTGGGTTAGTGCTAACCCTAACAAGCCTTGACCACGTCTAAAGCTGACCCTATTCCTAACAAGCCTTGACCACGTCTAAAGCTTATCCTATTCCTAACAAGCCATGACCACGCCTAAAGCTTACCCTATTCCTAACCCACAATCCACGTATGACACCATATGTGCAGGACCGTCTGAGATCTAGGGTTCTCCGTTGATGTGATCTGTAGAGGATGATGAATGTTGTGTAATTTTCAGCTCATCATATTGTTGTAAATACATGTAGTGAACAGATATTGAACTATTGTTTGTCTATAATGGTGTTGGTTCGATGTCCTCCTCCTTTCTTAGAGAAATCTGGTAATATCTTATAAACAACCTGATTCATATTCCACGTCTTAGAGAAATCTGGTAATATCTTATAAACAACCTGATTCATATTCCACGTCTTTTTAGTTTTGGTGGGTCTAGTGATTTAACACCTGCGTGGTTTTTTTTGGGGGGGGAGGGCTAGTGATGTTACACCTGTGTGGTTTGAGGGGGGGGGGCTAGTGATGTTACACCTGTGTGGTTTGAGGGGGGGGGCTAGTGATTTAACACCTGTGTGGTTTGAGGGAGGGGGGTCTAGTGGTTTAACACCTGCGCATGAAACCATATGGTCAGTCATTGAGTCGAAGTGGCATGGTTTCGATTCTCCGCTTGTACGTGACAAGGAGATAGGTCGCCTGTCCAACCTCGTGGGATTTCTCCGGGTCCCCTGGTTTCCTCCCACTGCTAAAGATCCCAAGGTGCAAGCGAATTATTGAAATAAATTGAACCATATGTTGGTCCCGAAATGACCTAGTTTGTGTCGAGTGGACGTTAAACCCTCTCTGTTTTCTTTTTTCGTTTTTTGTTGATCCTGAATGATACTGAGAAAAAATGTCGGGTTGAGCATCTATAGTATCACAGATTGTATTATTTATTATTATTGTATTTTCAGGTAACTGCTGTTCGTGAAGTGGTACCAGGTCGAGCCTTTGATGAGATTGTTCTTGTTTTACAGTATTATGATTATAATTCAGAGAAAGCCATTCAAGCTTATCTAGAAGGTTAGTGCCCATACAATAAAAATATCTTGTATATGGGATGGGTGGCTCAGTGAATAAGCCATTCAAGCTTATCTAGAAGGTTAGTGCCCATACTATAAAAATATCTTGTATATGGGATGGGTGGCTCAGTGAATAAGCCATTCAAGCTTATCTAGAAGGTTAGTGCCCATACTATAAAAATATCTTGTATATGGGATGGGGAGCCACGATGATTCAGTGAGTAAGACGTTGGCTTGCCAACCTAGAGGTTTTGCGTTCGATCCCTGTGTTGACCGTGTTACAGTTAAAGTTCATCAGGATTTTCTGGCGTGGTTTACCCTTGTCAATGGTGATGGTGTAGGACGCAGGGCCTGACAAGGACAGCTGTCTAGTCGTTTGGATGAGTTCTCATGTACACATTGGCGTGCAGGTATAAAAACCCTTTGCAGTTGGAATTTGATATAAAAGAGTGGCCTGTTGCGCTGCTGTCCGGGTGAAAACTTCCACATGTATGCCCATCTTCCTTACCTAGAACAACAGGACGTTAACCCCATTTCATTTCTCTTGCATGTTTTTGTTTTGACACAAATTAATTTGGCCTGAATTTTTGTAATAGAAACAGTCTATAATTTAAATATTGTCATATATTTTTCAGATGGTGCTAAGGAAGCTTTACAACAGTGGCACTTCAGTGGAACTAAGGTCAGTGTTGAGTTATAAAAGGGGGTGTTGGTGGGGTTTAGTGGTGGCCAACGACTGGTTTAACGCGTGTACGTCTTAAGGTCTGTCATTGAGTCAAGTGGTGTGGTTTGATTCCCCGCTTGTTCGTGACAAGGAGTAGGGTCGCCTGTCTAACATTGTGAGTTTTCTCTGGGTCCTCCCATTTTCACCCATAGCTAATGAATGAATGAAATGGAGTTTAACATCCTACTGTTTTGCTTCGAACTGGGCTAATGAAAACGGGCATACACCATACAGTGTGCTATGAGGGAAATTTTACCTGGACAGCGGCACTACGGCCTACTCTTATATCGAATTCCAACTGTCAAGTGATCTTTTACGTGCACACCGGACCTCAGTTTTTCGTCCCATCCAAACGACTAGACAGTTGTCCTTGTCAGGCCCTCCATCCTGCATCACTGACAAGGGGAATCACACCAGAAAACCGGGGTGAACTTTCTCGGCCAATGCAGGGATTGAACACCTGATCTCCAGGCTAGCGAGATAGCGTTTTACCCATTAAGCCACCATAGCTAATGGTCCCATTAGATTTGCATTAGACTGAAATTTACGCAGGTGGAAATGCTTGTGGAAACGGCAAGAAAACATCGAGAACATGCCTTAAACTAAGGGGGTACTCGATTGAACGTTCTGGAATTGTATTCTCTCAATCCCCAAAATAGTGACAGTCGAGTGAAAAGGTGGATTTCGGGCTACGACGCATGCGTCGACTGAAAAAGAAAATACCTCAACCAACCATGACAGCCGAAACATATTTGTTGTGTTTAATTACGTCACAATTTTGCTCACACCACCTCCGTTGTCGGGTGTGACAGAACTGAATTCTGTGTTACTCGATTGTAATTCTGTCAATTGGGAACGTTCTGGACTGTGAATCGGGCATCAATTCTGGATTGTAATTCTGTCAATTGGGAACGTTCTGGACTGTGAATCGGGCATCAATTCTGGACGTTCTGCACTGTGAATTGGGCATAGACATCAAAATATCAGGGGGAGATAATCTGTAAAAAAATGTGTGTTTCTGGATCAAAGATATTTCTCATAAACAGTGATTGAAAGTTGAGTAAATTCTTAAGTTATGTCTGAGAATGTTTTGTGAACTCAAATTTGTCATATCTTTCTAAATGCGGAACGGGAATGAACCATTTGGGAATGGTATTCCTTTTAGAGATAGGGAGATGGGAGTGCACGTAAAAGATCCCTTTGCAGTGGGCTGTAGCGCTGCTGTCCAGGCAAAATTTTCCTTGTAGCAGTCTGTATGGCATATGCCCATCTTCATTATCTCAGACGGAGTAGAACAGTGGAAAATGAAACCTTGTTTTATTTCATTTGGAGATTCAACTTTCACAATATTGTATTTTAGGCCCAGAATAAAAAGAAGAGACCACGTAAAGGGAGAGCTGAAGAAGGAGGGGGCGGTACTTCTCCTGACCCCAATTCCTCTCCATCTGTTAACTCCAATAATAACAATATAGACAAACCACACATGTTGAACGGGGACCACACAAAAGGTAAAAATGTTTTTCACATTAATCTGATTAAAACACAGATTTTATTTTGTTTCGTTTTTTTATAGTTCAAAATTTCATTTTACTTGTCTTGACTACACTAGGATCTGGAAGAGTTGTTATATAACCCACGTTCTGGATGATGTGAGGGATTAGCCATTGAAATGGTCTGTTACGGCAAGTTTTTAGCGTAAGGTACACGGAACTCTGGGTAACCCACTAGAAACATCAACGTTGATTGATTAATCAAATGTCTGACATCATAGGGTCAAAAGCCGCTTGTATTACTTCTGACGTGACCTTCCATTACAACTGGTCAGATCTTCATATAGTGTAGGCCATCGAAAGTATAAAAAAACGAAACAAATTATAGATGCGTATTTTAATCAAATTGAAATGTTGTGGAAATTAATTTGGTTGTGAGAATTAATTTGGCTCACTGATTTCTAAGTCATAGGGAGGCTCGGTGTGTCTCAGTGAGTGAAGACAGGGTTAGGGCTAGGGCTAGGGCTAGGGTTAGGGTTAGCTTGGTTAGCTAAACTGGAGGTTCTGTGTTCAATCCCGTCCATCAGGATTTTTTCGGCATGGCTCCCCCTTGTCTGTGGTGTAGGACAAAGCGCCTGGCAAGGTACAATGTATAGTCGTTCGGATAGGGCGCATTTGCCTGCACATAAAAGAACCCTTCACAGTAGGCAGTAGTGCCGCTGTCTTGGCAAAGTTTCATATGCCCGTCTTCATTAGCTCAGTCGGAGCAGAACAGAAGGGCGTTAAACTCCATTTCATTATTTCCAAGCCAACTGATAAGTTACTAGGCCTGAATTCTTGTAAACGGGATATCGATCACTGGTATCGTTTTATCGAACACAATGACATTTAGTGCGTGAAATAGCCTTATTTAACATCCACTTCCACCTACATTTAGTAAACGTGAGGTTGATATGTATGATGTTCGTGATGAAGCCATTTACAGAGATTAAATAACAATACAAAGTATATAGGTGTAAGGCTCCACTAAAGCTTGTAATAGAAACAGTCTACAAAATTTCGACACCAATAGCTGTATTTACTTGTATTTAGACACTAGCGGTTGACCCGACGAAGCAAAGGTATAGCCATAAACTTGAAGTAGTGTAACTCTGAACAGACAAACAAACAAACAAACGACAGTCACAAATATTAGTAGAGATATTAGACCAGCTCCTAATTTCAAAGCCAACTGACATCTAAATTAAATGATAGGCCCTGTCTTCATTAGCTCAGTTCGGGGAGAACAGTAGGACGTTCAACCCCATTTCATTTCATTTAAATGATAGGCCTACAAACTTATTTGTTTATTTTTGTTTATTTATTTGTTTACATATGTTTATTTGTTTATATTTTGTGTTTATTTGTTTCCATTTGTTTATTTATATTTGTATATATTTGTTTACTTTTTTTTTTTTTTAAAGACATATCAGACCAGGCAAGGATACCAGCCGCTAATTACCGGGACCAACAACAATCATATCCAGAGAAATCACGTCCATTGTCTCATCCTAACAATACGTCACTGGACAGGCGCGATAAAGTTCAACTCATCGGAAGTAAATCGTCAGAGATGAACCAAAGAGATAAACAACAACGCAGTAACAACAACAACAGCTCACAAAAAAACTCAGGTAATATTTCTCATTCAGTTTAGTAGTACATGAGGGGGGATAACTCAAGAAAGGAAAGTCAGGTACATGTAAAACCGTTATTTCCAGGCATGCTAGACATGTGCACATGATGAGGCAGTTTAAAATGTGCACGTGCACTGCGGTACATGTTGGGGATCACAGTGCACTGCGGTACATGTTGGGGATCACAGTGCACTGCGGTACGTGTTACAGTCAGTCTGGGATTTAACCTTCTTATATGTAACATCATTTATCTCCTTAATACATCAGTTGTTTTTATACGCCCAGGTAGAAATGTGGTTGTATATTGCCGTTTCCCCTGTCATTTAGATTAGTGAAATTAAGACACCGATTGAATTTCAGCAATTTGCGTTCATTACTTCTGGAGTTATGGCCCTTGTTTCACTTTGTTGGACCTTGTGAATGCTTGCACGACAAAAGTTATCAACCGATCTGTATGAAACTTATATGCATCATTGATATTTGTGAACCACCAGGACGATTTAGCTGCTGTGGGCGTATGTTTCGTTGTCTTTCAACATATCTTTATTGACTGTAAATAAAGTTATACTTTATCCTGTAAAGACACGACTGGCCCAACGTCATTGGACTACACTTGATCAGACGTCAGCTGAGCCCACTTCATTGGACAAAAACATCACTATGACAGCTAGTCATTGGGATGGTTCGAACAATTAAGCGCGGATGTAAGAGAACCCTTGCCTGTAGCACCGCTGTCCATAAACTTCACTCATAGAACGTTGCATAGCCAAGCCCCTCTTTATATTTCTGTCGGTACAGAACATTAGGACGTTAAAAAAAACAACATATCATTTGTTTTAATTTCGTTACAAACGGCAGGGGCGAGGTTGCTGTCTTATTGGTATTTAAAATGTCAAACATGGAATGTTAGGCCCCCCCCTTCCGTGTATGCGGTTTCCCAGGCAAAAAAATCTGTATATTGTAAATGTAATGAGACCATTTCCATATAAGTGTTGCTCGATAAAAGACGTTTTTTCTCGTGGATATTTACTTTCTGGCGTACACACGTGGTGCTCTTCCATCAAGTCAATCAACCCCTAATTCAGCTTGCAAGTGGCATGGTGTTATAAAAATGCAGCTACTGAACTTTGTCATGCTCCATACTGTAAAGAAAATCCTCACTTCTGACGTCATTTACATGGGATTCCCCAAACTTTTCAGCAATTTTTCGTACAGATGGAAATACAAATAAATTGTGTGTGGAACTGCAGCGTTTTTCTGCTTTTGAAATTGGGACTAATTGTGATATGAAACAATATGTATTATAGGGAACAACTCTAGTATAGCAGCAAGTCAGGAAGCTAGACACCAGAGAATTAGAACTATCAGTGAATGCAGCTCATCAAGTTTAACATCAGGACCAGAACATTTTACTATTAAAAAAGCTGGTACGTTGTCAACTGTACAAATTCGATTTTTTTACCGAACATATTATTTGGTTGAATATTGTCTTGATGTTGGCAATAAGTTAAAAGTATATTGGGGAGGGGTGGGGGGGCAAGGTGGGTAAGGCGCTGGCTCGCTAGACTGGAGGTCGGGTGTTTGATCCCTGCATTGGCCGAGAAAGATCATCCAGATTTTCTGGCATGGTTCCCCCTTGTCAGTGATGCAGGACGGAGGGCCTGACAAGGACAGCTGTCTATTCATTCGGATGGAATATAAAAAACTGAGGTCCCATGTACACATTGCCATGCACGTAAAAGATCCCTTGACAGTTGGAATTCGATATAAGAGTAGGTTGTAGTGCCACTGTCCGGGCAAAATTCCTCTCATAGCACAGAGTATGACATATACCCGTCTTTATTAGCCCAGTTGGAGCAGGACAGTAGGACGTTAAACCCCATTTCATATCATTTCATCTCTGTCTCTTATTTGGCCAGTCGGAGCAGAACAGTAGGACGTTAAACCCCATTTCATATCATTTGATTTCTGTCTATTATTTTCCGTTTTGTTATATTTTGGCAGGGTTAGAGAGGTCAGTAAAAGATTTACAGAGACAGCAGTCGTCGTTAGAAAGGTTACGGCGTACTTTTGAAGAAGAGGTGGACAAAGGCCCAAAGAAAATAAAATCTGTCTTTGAAGAAGTGAGAAAAGCTTTATACGACCGAGAGCTTCAGATGATTATAGAATTCGAACAGATGAAACTTGAGTCGAGGGATTTATTTATAATGAGGCAACAGAAAGCTAGTGAGTTAAAAACTAAAATCGATCGAGCAGACTGTATGAACGAGAACGAACTTACAGATTTACGAGCAGACGTTAAGGTAAGATCAAGAAAAGAAACTAATACATCATGAAATTAATGCTAGCTGATGTCAATCTAAGATCAAACAAGAAATTAATGCATCATGAAATTATTGCTAGCTGAAGATATTTGATGTGTGCAAGATATATTTATATGTTTACAGATCAACCTGTACCATTTGCTTGTTAGGCATTTCTCAGATTTAATATTTGTTTTTCTATTTAATCTTAACGGAGGAGAAATATTTATTGATATTAATGCCACTGGTGACACTTCACAGTAATTATTGCTTGCTTTATTTCTTTTTTTAATGCTCGAACATTGCAATATGTCAGTAAATTGTTGTCACCCCTGTCCTGTGGGGGGGTGGATGGCCGAATGGTTAGCACGCGCACACTGTATCATAAGGCCTGTCATTGAGTCAACTGGTGTGGTTTCGAATCTCCTACATGACAAGGAGTACGGGCGCCTTTCCAAACCCTTGGGTTTTCTCCGGGTCCTCCGGTTTCCTCCCACTACTAAAGACCCCTACGTGCAAGCGAAAAATTATTGAAATAAAATTGAACCAAGTGTTTGTGTTGAGTGGGCGTTAAACCCCATTTCTCTCTCTCTCTCTTTCTCGCTCTCTACCCCCCTCCTCTGTCCATGTGGACGCTCTGCAGGCTAAAGTTATTCTGAAATTTATACAATTGCTAGTGGATGACCCGGCACTGCATGGGTTGAAAGTAATTTATCTCCAAACCTGGAAGCGATAGTCCATCGCCACCTAGCCTATGTTTCTCCCCAGTCTGAGCTATCAATATGCACTCAATTTCACCCTTGGGACACCCCTAGCAATATGTACTCAATTTCACCCTTGGGACACCCCTAGTGTAGCCGCCAACTCTGAACAAACAGACAAGAGAGAGAGAAATGTGGTTTAACTAGGTCATTTCAGGACTAACATATGGTTCAATTTTATTTCAATAATTTGCTTGCGAGTTGGGGTCTTTAGCAGTAGGAGGAAATCAGAGGACTCAGAGAAAACCCACGAGGTTGGACAGGCGACCCTACTCCTTGTCGCGTACAACAGGGGAATCCAAACCACGCCAGTTGAGTCAATGACAGACCATATGATACAATGCACATGCTTTACCATTTGGCCCCCCCCCTCCCACCCCCACCCCAAACAGACAAACAACAGTCTCAAATGATTAGTATATAAATTATATGTTCTCAAGGTTAGTGTAGTGATGTTAAACACAATTTAATGTTATTTTATTTTATGTTTCCAGCATTTTGTAAGTGAGAGAAGATTAGATGAAGATTTAGCCAATACGACACGTTTTATGTATGATACAGATAATATTATAGGGGTATGTTTATATTAATTATATCCACATGATTATCAGGGGTTACAGACAATTCAGTCTAATTGCTAACCACTGCACCTCCAAACAGCACACAAATCGATACGACACAGGGAATGTGAATTGTTAATCAAGCTGTTAGCCGCATAATTTACACTGTTGAAGGTGTCCTGGAATAGTCACTGAACGTGTTCTCAAAGAATGTCTTGATGGTGTCTTTGCAGTGTTGACATGGATGGTAGTCTTGAAGGTGTTCTGAAAGAATGTCTTGTAGGGTTGATATAGAGGGTGTTCTGGAAGAACATAATTAACCACTGTGAATGTGATTAGAACTTGACCACAGATATATAAATGTCTTATTTATTATCATTTCAGGAAATAAAAAAGTTTGGATTAAGTAAGTACATGAATGTTTTCTGTTATTCTACTAGGACTATGATCATCAAATTTTATTTTTAGTTCTTAGGGGGTCTTCATAAATAAAATAAAATGGGGTTTTTCCAGTTTAGGAGCAGGGCCCTTATTCACGAAAACTTAAACTAAGATACAATCGAAATTTTAAGAAATACTGCTATTCGATTGGCTGACCAGTAAAATCAATTTGCATATATCCAATAAAGTTGCAGTATTTCTTAAAATTTCGGTTGTAACTTAGTTTAAGTTTTCGTGAATAAGGGCCCGGAACTGTAGGACATTAAAATGTCCTACTGTTCTGCTCCTAAACTGGGTTATGAAGACGGGGATACGCCATACAGTGTGCTATGAGGGAAATTTTGTCCAGACAGCGGCCCTACAACCTGCTCTTATATCAAATTCCTACTGCCAAGGGTTCTTTTACGTGCACGCCAATGTGTACACAGAACTTCAGTTTTTCGTCCCAATATCCTGGAATATCTTGATGAACTTTCTCGGGTAACAAAAGGATAGAACATGGGGCACCCAGGTTAGCCAGCCAATTCCTTACTCACTGAAGCAGAGAGACTCGTGGGTTGTGATAAGTAAAAAGCTACATGAGTCACATGAACAATGTTTGTTTAAAATTGAAAACTTAAAGATTTAGAAACCGCAGAAACATGAGAAGTAAACCCTGTGATTAATCCTCGATTTGATGATGGTAGTTAAAAACCCACCCCCACTCCCCAATTACACACGTAACCATGGAAATGTAAATTCTATATGTCAGTCTCAAAAGAATTAAATTATTTAACCCAGTTCCAATCTTTTTCCTTCAAACTGCTTGTTGTACTCGCCAGCTTATGAAATAATAAGTCAATTCCAGGGGTCTCGATAACCGGGTTCTCATCGCAGTTTGCGAATCAAATCGTGCCCGTTGCTAATCAATTTTCTAAAAAGTAGCTAACTTGATTCGCACAAATGCTAATCATAAATTTTGCTTCTTTTATTTTTCACACGGTTAATTTTATGTCCACTTTTTAACTGTAAAGATTTGTGGACAGTTTTTATAGTGATTTTTCGGCATTTCTTTGCCAGCTTAGTCACGATCATCTAGTATCTAATACCTATTACTGCTAAAATGCGGGTACTAAATGACAAATTTATAACGGAGATTTGCAGCAAGGAATTTTCGATCGACGACAGCGATCTTCCTATCGTAGTTGTAGGCTAAAGTCTTTCAAATTTACCGACATATCATCGATGCAATTGCAAGTATTGATGTTACTGTTAGCTCCCGATGCATCGACGCGTAAAATATTATTTGATTGAAATCAGCACAGACGAGTGAATGGCTATTACGTCAACAAATAGCATGGTCGTGAATTTTGAATGTTCAAAAGACGAATCAACCCAGAAATGTCCTCGATATTATTTCAATAGGCCTACTAGTACTACTACGTTTTGACCGGTTATAACACATAATAATATGTCATGAGAGAGGGTACACAGCAATGAGCAGACAATGAAATATTTTTGACAATAATTTTGAAATAGTGTGACTGAAATAGTGAAATAAAAGTTTTGCATAATATCGTAAAATTCAACAGATAGATTTTACTTCAATCACAGTTTTCCGAAATTGTAGTCAATGGATATTCACACACGGCTAATCAAAACTGGACATTGCTAATAAATTTGCCTGAATTTATCTAACTTGATTAGCAGTTCTGCTAATCAAGTTTGAAAAGTTATTGAGACCCCTGCTTTGTATTATGGGGATGCTTGCATGTCAATCCAGAAGTTCTAAATGGACAAAAATGCAATCGGTGCTGTCACAGTTATTAGGGTTATTAAATCACCCTTTTGTTATCTGGGTTATTAACTCACCGTTTCATTATCTGGCTTATTTATTTCCAGTTATTCCAGTAAGACATTTATACAGCACAAGGCGTCCGTCAACATCTTCCGTTGCTAGTAGCGGACCAGGTCATGACGATCATCGTCCTCATCCTAATCACCATAGAAACCAACATACCAACCAATCAGCGACTTCAACACAACCTACAACAACAACATCAGGTACGGAGCAGGGATAGAATTTTATTTTAAAATGTGTAACGAAAGATGGCTAGTTGATTTCAAAGAAAAAACCAAATTGGATTCTGTAGAAATTAAAGGGGCTTAATTGTTCTGTTGATTATTTAAGATTTATTAATGGGTATAGCCGAGGCCGAATAGTTTAAATCACGGGGCTAGAAGTTCGTCCTTTTTTGGGAGAATTTATGAGGATTCTCATATATGCAATCTGTGCGAATCCTGCGATATTTACCTTTGTATGAGGCCTCAATTCCTTTATAGTGCTTTGGGCACACCTTGCACACAGCGTGAATTACGCGTTTATTTTCAGAATCAAATGTAAACTCGTAGCTTTCATTTAGTTTCTTACACCACTTCATAACAGTTTCTTTAGATACCGTTTGGATTTTGCTTCCAGAAGCCATGTCAATTTCCGAAAAATTGAATTGATAACCGCACAAAGTATTATAATAAAGGAATATAGTTTATGTTTGCACAAATGAAAGTGAAAAAAAAAAAAACCGGGTGGCCGACCTTGACAGAGACAGAATAGATGTGGAACTAGCGGAATCAAATCGTTTGTAAGGATAAAATGGAACTCAAAATTATTTCGTTTTAATTTTGGCCTGCTAAAGCAGTTTCTTTTTTTAAATTTTATTTAAGAGAGATAAAATAATTGATTAGGAAACAAATAAATTTGTATCATAACTGAAATTCAATGCATAAATACAAATGTAAATGGAGTTGCACTGTTAAAATACAGTTTCCTTTCGGTGCTCTGCTTCTCCAAGACGTCTTGTCGTGATCGGGGAATTTTCCACAAAATTCATTACGTAACATAAAAACAGCAAAAGACAACGGCCAGCCAGAAACTTGTCAAAATTATAAGTTAGAAGTAAACAGTAAAACAAAAACACAACAAATATTTTATTTTATTATACATGTAGTATTCTATACAAATTTGATTCAAAACACCTTGACTGACATTCAATAGACAGTTGAACCTTGAAAATTCTCCGAGATTTTTTTTTTTTTTTTTACAAAAATTCGCAGCTTAAGCTGTTGTGAGAATCCTTGCGTGAATTGGACTTAGAGATTTGTGTGAATTTCTAGCCCTGAAGCATAACGTCTAGTAGGGTCGCCTGTCCAACCTTGTGGGTTTTCTCCGGGTTCTCTTGTTTCCTCCCACTGCTAAAGACCCCTACCCTACGAACTAACCGAATAAATGAAATAGTGATTGAACCATATGTTAGTCCCAAAATGACATAGTTTGTGTTGATTAGTCTCTGTTTTTATTTTAGTACCAGTGAATGGTATAAATGGCGATGCTGGGAACGAATCTGACGATACTGAATTAACTGCTCAAGATTTAGCGGACTTACAACAACGTCTGCAAAACTCCCTTCGTATAAATAGGGTAGGTAACACTGTATAAAGCAATGTGCTTAAAGATAACTTTGGTTATAATTAAACATACACTATGCAAGAGCTAAATTTGCCAATTGTAGGTCTTTCTTTAGGCCTGAAATGTTATATAAACTATTAATTAGACATTAGTTAACATATCCAGACCATAATCAACTCTTGATGTCATCGCTAGCCTGCGATGTTTATTGGATTAGTTTCCGATATTCTGTTCGACTTCCATTCATGATTAAATCATGAAATGGATAATCGAGACTAGGTTTTTTATCGTACAGACTTTAGTAATGATGATCGAGGCTACGCCTAAAATTCAAAAGTTAATATCTCGGTTCAGAGTGGATCAATTTGAATGAAATTTTCAGCAAATTCCCTTTACATTATCTTGTTTTTAACTATTTTAGTGAGAACAGTCGTCTCTTTAATCTCCCATAATGTATCTTTAAGTGAGCGCTATGAAACTCTGAGTATAGATTCATTATATCATAACCTTGAATAAGTTTTATAAGCAATTTGATTGGTCAAGACATTAGAACATAACAACTCTGCTTTTAATTAAGGTAGAATGTTTAAACTTGATGTTCATTAGGTGAATGTCTTAACTGAGTTCATTGGTTAATATTTCCCGCTAAAGCTAAGCAATTTCTTTGACTTTGATTCTATCTGTATAGATGATAATGAGCTTAATTGCTCGATACTTTTGAGAAAGATAAACATGCAATTAAACATACATTATACAAGAGCTAAATCTGCCTATCGCAGGTCTTTCTTTAGGCCTGAAATGTTTTCTAAAGTATTAATTAGACATTAATTAACTTATCCAGGCCTTAATCAACTCTCAATGGCATCAGATTTCTCCGATATTAAATAGATTAGAATGGTTCGGCGATACTTTGATTTAATCAAATATGGAGGACCGAGACTTAGCTTCGATCAACCAGTACGGTGGTTGAAATTATTGCACACGTCTTGTCAAACCTTCAAAGGCTAATATCTTCGCTTGCAATAGAGTAATTTGAATGAAATTTTCAAATTATTCATTTTACATCATCTACTTTCGAACTATTATAGCAAGAATGGCTAGTTCTTCATCTAAATCTTACATAATGTATCTTTAATTAATATGT